CAGGCCAGGCAGGCAGAATCGACCTGACCTTCATGAAATCAATGTCTGTCTGTCTCCTGATGCAAACAACTTACTGTGAATATTGCCCTGCAGACCGCAAAGAGGGCGGGAAAAAAAAAGTATATTTACGAAGAAGCATCGATAGAGAGCGTTCTTGTTGCCTGCTGCATTGTTTTTTTGCGAATATCGACCATATTGCGGGATCCGCTCGGTAGACGACAAATAGTACTCTGTTCGGCGACTGCACGTCTCGACAATGACCCGTATTTCAGGACCCCGCCGTGCTCGCTCTGGGGACCCAGGCCGTCGTGAGCGATGGCACAGCTTTGTTCCCAAGGAGCAGCAAGCCCCTGAGGCAGACCCGTCTGATCCTTCAACCCATGACCAGGAGACCGGTATCCCCGTGCGGAGGGCCATTCCGGCTTTCATACCGCCCTTTGGAAGTCAGTATGCCGAGTCCCACGAGGACCTCGAGCAGCATTCCCACGCAGCTGCGGCGGGAGGGCGAAACGCGGCGGATGTCGAGCCACAGAGCGACGATCGATGGTCGACTACTACTACGATGGAAGGAGATCTGTCTTCTGTCCCGCACTATTCCGCCCTACTACTGCGCGCTCTCATGCGTCCTCCTCCTCCTCCTCCTTCGTTGTCGAGGACTGCATACCCCGAAGGATGCTCGGACTCGGAAGACCTCGCACACCTCGCCTATCTCGAAGGATACGCTCCGTCGTACGCGCCCTCTACGACCGGTTGGTATCCTATGACCGATGGCGTGCGTCGGACGAAAGCTGGGGAACTCTCTGTGGGCTACAACGAGCTTGAAGCTGAAGGCCACACCGACGACGACGACGACGACGACGACAAGTACGCGTACGACGAAGACTACGAATCATCCCCCGAACCCTCCGTCGCCTTGAACATCTCCAACGCCAACGAATCTCTCCAAGGCGCTTTTGAAGCCATCATCCTGAAATACGAGGCGCATCCGGATCAGAAGCTCACCCGTCAGGGTCGCAACGAGCTCTTCGAACCCCTCTTCGAGCGCATGGAAGAGCACCCTCTGCTTCGACGCATGAGGGATAGTACGTTTTTCCCCAACCTTGTCACGGACATGTCCATGTGGCTGGCAGAGAAGCAAGCAGAGGATGCGGCAGGGGCTGCGGAGCGAGAGCAGCTTGGACGCCGCCGTAAGACACGAAGAACCGCGAGAAGGTCCTTGCCGCTGTGATTGAGCAGCCGCCGACCTTGCCCGCGGTACTTCCTGGCTTTGCTTTCTCAATCTGTGGAAATTTCTGGAAATCTGGATGGATCTGGCATTGGCACTAGCGTGTGTGTGTTGGTTGGTTGGGTCCCATGCTCCTGATGTATACATTTCGGTTTTCCATCCTACTCCACGCTATTTGTCGAGGGATTCTTTGACGTGCCTGCTCTTCCACTCCACTCCAGTCAGCGGTTTGACTGCAAAGCTGTTAATCAACGGCGTTGTAGAAGCGGACGGTTCTCCAGAAACGATCTTTCTCGGTCCAGACATGCTGCACTTTAGCAGAATCGCCGGCTCCATGGCAAGAAGAAGAAAAGTAAAATCACCTGGCTGGCCTCGCTATACAAGGCGTTGAAGATTCCTGGAAGTATACCTGTGATCACTGTCAAAGGTCTGTTTCATGATCCGTCAATTCGGCATGCCATATATCTTCCAAAAAAAAAAGGGGCCCCCTTATTTATGGCCCCTCCCTGTGAAAGCCTCCGCCGCGTGTCCATACATCCCTTTTCCCGAAATTCGAACGAACGAAATCCTTCTCCAGCTGGCTTCAGTTCAGACACACTACTACAACCAAAAAAAAACCAAAAAAAAAAAAAAAAACTCAGACGACAAGTCCTTCTTCCCAACCAACATCACGAGGAACCACCCAAATCGACCCTTTACGCTATATTTTACTCAGAGAGAGACACGCAAGGCAAGACGGCTATGCTATAGTGATCTCATCATCTCTTCTCTCCATGGGAGTTTGGAATTTTTTTTTTTTTTCTAGCCTTGGTGTGGACGGACGGACGGACGAACGCACGAACGAACGAATGCACCGCGGCTGCAAGCCCGATCTTGATTCCACTTGTTGCCTCACTTGTATACATCTTCCACCTTTTTCCTACTTCCTACTAAATAATCACCTAGTCCACTTCCCTTCCCAAAAACCCCCACACACACAGTTCTGAATCCCTCGGCGACACGTCGTAAAGAGCCTGAATAACCGGTTCGTCTCACACACACACACACACACACACACACCCTTCCCTTCATTGTATTTTCGGATCTCACGTTGAGCGGGCGAAAACTTGGTCTCGATCGTTCGTCCGTGAATTCGAACGGTGGACTCGATAAAAGAAGTCGTAGCTGTGTCTAGACGGAGGGAGGGGGAGCGGAGCGTTCGGAGGAGGATGATTTTGATAATAGCACAGCCTCGTACAAGGAAGAAATGATACAGATGACTTACTTCTAGAAATCCAAAGCTTGGCACTTTTTGAGTCGCGGACCTTGGTTCGATGATGTGAGTCGGGGAGTTGGGGAGTACCATGCAGACAGATGTATATCGGCGCAGTGACCACCACTGCGGAGTCCGTTGTTGATGATGCATCCAATGGCTTCTGATGTTTTGGGGGGGTCGGATACGAGGAGAATGATGGGTTTCTGTAGCGGCGGATGCGTGTTCTATAGGCCAGACCGTTGATTTTCGAAAGGCGAGGAGATTTCGAATTGATGAATGCTGCTCTCGTGTGAGCTCTGGAGGAAAAGCAGGCGTCATGGTGTCTGATCTAACGCATTTTTGTTTTCCGGCTTTCGAGATCCTACATATTCTGAACCTTTTTTTACAGGCACACATACCTAACCATTTCCACACTCGCAGGAACATCTGCGCGCCTTTCGAACCCGGCCCTGGTGCTGTTGAAGGGGATGATCGAGGAAAGCACCAATATCGAGCCTGGGGCACCGTGGAGAGAACACGGAGATGCGCCACGCTGAGCTTCTAGGAGTCTTCCCGACAGAAATTCGGGATTGAGGATGTTCCTCCACGGCGACATTGACCGAGAGTAGCACATCCATGAATGACAGCATAGAGAAGATCCTCGCACGCGAGAGGCCCTCCTCTAATAGACAGCGGAGCCAGGACTGCAGCTTCGAGGATGTCATAACCGGGGCCATGATGGACTACGATGCCAACGCCTCCGGACTTGATGGTATAAGGGGCATGTTGATCGCAGCAACTCGGTGCGGTGTTTCCATTCAATTTGCAACCAAATCTTTCTGAACTTCGGACGGGGTCTTGAGCCTCTGATACTTTGGAATCGTGAGCGACTTGTGTTGAAGGCTGTATAGCTTTAGTGCTGGGATACCGAGAGCTTGGTGTCAAGCACGTTGTAGAGGAGTATCCAGAGGGAGGACAGGCGGGTACGTCCCGGTTGCTGTGGCTCCGCTCGAGATTATATCAACTCCGCCCGTTCTCTTCTGATCGAAAGCTCGAGACTGTCAAGTCTATAATGTGTCCATTGCCATCGCATGTGATGCTGAAGGGTTGTCTTCCGAGATCTTCACGCGAGCGTAGCCTGGCCAGTGCATGGAAAGCTTGACGAGGGCCGGCGAAAGTGGAGATACAGCGTCTTCGCACATTGGAGTGTTATCTCGACGACTGCTATCGCCGATGTTGCGCTATGCGAGTCGCTGTTGCCTTGGCTTTGGCTGGTATCCTCGGGAAGAAAATAACATTCCCTCGTGGGAAAGACGATGCACTAAGCAGGAGCAAGCATAGCCGCCCGTGACTTCCAAGCAAGAGGTGCTTGACGACCAGCAGCGATCAGCTCGTTGTGCCCGGATTTCCCGATACCGGTAGCATCGAACGAACCCTTTTTCAACTGAATTTGTACATAGATCCTGAATGGTGCCGGATCTCGAAAAGAGTCGACGTGTTGGGTATTGATACTCGGAGAGTAATTGGCGAATCAAGATAAACAGGGAAAGCAGAGGTGTACTCTATCCTCATACAGCAACGAAGACGTGTGGCAGAGCACGCATGCTCCGAGTGCAAGCAGCACAAGAGTACGAGCGACCTACCTGAAGCGCCATGGCAGCAGCCACGACAGGTGGGAAGCACAGGAACCAAAGCAATGAGACAGCGATCAATGGGTTGAGTGGCTTTTTGATGCTTTTCAGACTTTCAGCCTTCCATTGTAGTGATCTTGCTCATGCCATGAAGAAGCTCCGATAGGCCAGGTATGTTTCGCTATCTGTGGTGGAAACCATCCCTCCAAGCCTTGCTCTTTCATTTGCGCCCGATCCCATGCTCCTCGTACCATACGTTCCAAGACTCGAAGACAAAGTACAACGCCGCCATGCTTGGCCAGACGTTTACCTCACGATACCCTCGAATCTGTTCTTGTACCACTTGACGGTCTCGGACTGGTTGATGCGGTGGGATGCTCCGATGCGGGCCTTCGCACGTCTCCGCTTGGCGACACGCTCACCGGGACGGGTCCTAAACAGTCATCAATACGTGTAACCCTCACCGAGGTTGCAGATGCCCATGCTTGTCACTCACATGCAGCAGTAGAAGTCCATGCCGTAGATACCGATCGCTGGGTCGTACTTGATTCCAAGATCGATGTGCTCAGAGATACCGAAGCCGAAGTTGCCAGTCTCGGAGAAGTTGCGCTTGCGGAGTTCGTACTCCTTGACCTTGAGGCCACGCTCGAGGATCTCCTCCGCCTTGGGACCACGGACGGTAACGTGAACGGCGATCTTTTCGTTACGACGGATACCGAATGTACGAACGGTGTAGCGGGCCTTGCCTGTGGTTCATCCCATCAGCATCTTCATTCCCTCTCGACTTCGTACCTAGATGGCATATATTGTGTACGCACTGTAGACTGGAGTCTGACCGCTCAGCTGTTCGAGCACCTTGGCAGCACGGGTAAGTCTGTCACCAGACTCGCCGACGGAGATGTTGAGGACGAGCTTCTGGATGCGCAGCTCGCGCATTGGGTTGGCAGCCTTCTCAGCGGCGCCCTGGGTCCTGACGGACGAGCCATCGGCCTGCTGCGTTGAGGATTCGCCCTTGGCCTGTATATCCCAAGCATGTTAGCTGCTGTTCTTCTTCGCCCACTGCTGTTTGGAACTGCGTTTTGGCGTCTGTCCAGATTTCGATTTGAGATGCATAGGAGGATCGTACCATTGTGCTGGTGATATCTCAACGTCCTGGCGATGGCGGAGGGAGGAGATTGTTGTCGATGAGTTCTGTCGCGAACCTTGGAGGAGGCTTTCTTTACAGCAGCACCGATGGGGATTTGCGCGAGGTGGGCGTGGGCTTGGCACGAATGCGGCTGCGCGGGCCGAAGCGCCCATCCGCTTCCCATGCCACAACTTCACGCAGCGGCTTTGCACATTGGCAGCTTCACTTCTCCCTTCGATAACCAGCGCAGAATCAAGTCCCCGGCAAGTGAGATAGCATCCGGTCCCCGAACACCGTCTTGGAGATAATCATTGTTCGTGTGGACGCGCCATAACGACCTGCTCACGCGCTCGCGTGCCAGCCCTAGCATGGCTTCACATGATCAATTCGCCAAGGCGCGAAAGGAGGGCAAGATGGTGAGTCTAGAGTTCCATCCACGAGTGCAAAGGACTCTGCGTTGACGGAGACAGTCTGCTAACAAGACATGACGGCTAGGTCGGCTTCGTGAGTACCAAGATCACACACCCTCACACCACGGGCATCGACTTACACGCTACGATCTAGATCAACTATCGCATACGCGCCCAGATGAAAGATGGACGCTACATTCTCGGAACCATGCTCGCCTTCGACCCGGTAATACAAGCATATACACACTCTCCACCACTAGCATGTCAAGAGACTAATATCTGCATATCTTAGCACATGAACCTCGTCCTCGCCGACAGCGAAGAATACCGCACCGTCAAGCGCAAGGCCAAGCAGAGCGGCCCGCCCGGCTCAGCGCAGAACTCCGCCCAGTTCGTCGAATCGCAGGAGAAACGTCCACTCGGCCTCGCCATCATTCGCGGCGACAAGGTCGCACACACCAACGTCGAGGGCCCGCCGCCTGCGGACCCGGCCTCTCGCCTCGGCACAAGCGCTCCAGGTGGAGGTCCGCCGACATCTATGCAAGCCGGCCCAGGTATCGCGAAACCAGCGGGACGAGGCACGGGTATTGGACTACAAGGCCCGGCGGCAGGCGTTGGAGGCCCCGGCTTCCCAGGCGCCGGGTTTCCGCCAGGCCCACCAGGTGCTTTCCCAGGTCGCGGCGGTCCTCCTGGTATGCCGATGCCACCGGGAAACTTCCCAGGTTCAGGCTTCCCCCCCGGTCCGCCGGGTGGACGCGGCTTCCCACCACCCGGTGGCCGCGGTATGTAAGAGCATGGCGCGATTCATATTGGCAAGGCGTTTGTTGCGAGGGATTCCAAGGGCGATACCCTTTTTTCCGTGCGATTGTGTAAGAAAACGGCCACGGCTGAGGAGACACGGGGAAAAAAAGTTTTTGAGACAAATCCGAAACTCAGTGATACGGACATATCCCCCCTCGCGTCTGTACCTTTCTTGCATCCCTCGTCGTACTGAGCCAATACGGAAGTCGCTGAAAAGTTGGAAATTCAAGGAGCCTTCAGACCGGATTTGTGCGTCCATCCGGATTCCTTTTGGGGGTGTTTCCAAATCGGCTGTACGTCATGGATTTGCCAATCAATGGGGGCAGTCTCGATCTTACTTGCTAGGCGGGGAGGTATTGGGTAATAGCCAGTCAGAGTCTGCCTGCGGCCGCAAGTGAAGAGAGCGGTAGAGACAGAGAGAGAGAAGGAGGAATTCATCAGGCAGAAAGTTCAAACAACAGATAGCTTCATGTGCAAGGCCGAGAAATCGAGATGGGCTGTGACAAGCGGTCTCCAACATTAGTCAAGTTCCATCCACACATGCAAGCAAGCGACAATGGGTGCACCGGGGCCTCGCAAGACCATTCTCAGTGTCCACTCCGGTACGACATTGGCAAGAATTCTCATATTCCCTCTAGAACGCGAAGGAGAAGAAGTTCAAAAAAGTGAGCAGCTCAAAACATGGCTTATCCGCTATCAAAAGGGTATCCTATGCAAAACGCCACCCGCTATGCCTCGAAAACAAGAGCCGGAAAAGAAAAAGTCCATTCCATCCTCATCCCGTCACCGCAGACCATTCCACGACCACGATCGTCCATCATCCACGTTCAACCAGCGTCCCGATTTGACGGCATCCCAGCCCATCATCACCCCGAGCATTCGACAGCCTGCACTGCTGATTGCACACACCACGCCGTCGCTCTCGGCCAAGACGGCAAGGTCCATGAGGTACGACCTGCCCACGAGCTCTCGAAGCCGCATGGCTTGGTCTGGTACCCGGGAAGGATCTGTCGAAGGTCCGGAGCGCTTCTTGGCTCCACCTAACGAGAAGAACAATGCACTGTAGAAGCCGCCTTCCCATCCGCTGTTCTCGTCGACGTGCTTTGTGTAGGCGGAGCCAGACTGGCGGAGAGGTTTGACGGGAAGGCTCTGGTCCAGTGTCGTCTTCGTTGCTAATTGTATTCTCTCCTGTGCCCTTTGTATGGACAGTGGCTCAGCAGCTTGACGCAATTCGGGAGATTCCAGGATATCAGGATCATCCGATGCCAGTAGCAAAGGAGACACCAGCTTCGCCATGATGGAAGAGTCATCGAATTTCCCCGTCAATCCCAACTTGGCGCGTACGAGCGACACTGCACCTTCCGCGTACCTCTGCAGGGGAAGATAATCGCGACTGTACTGGTATTCGAAAGGATGCTGGTCGCCACGTCTGATCTGCATACCGACGAGAGGACTGTGGTTCTGCGCTGCTGCGCTCTTCACGTCGGCAATGCGATTCTTTGCATATTCGGCGTCTTCACCAATGAGATGGAACAGATCTTCGTATCCAGTACGAAGCAATTCGTGTACCCGCGACTGTGCGGCCAGCCCATGGTTGTGTGCGCCTTGAAACTCTCGCTGAAACGCCGAGCCGAAGGTCCAAGAAGCTGTGGCGGCTGACACGACCAGGTGTTTTGCGCTTCGTGGACATGGTACGACCTGATGCGTCGGAGGTCGAGTGCACTTTGGGGGAGGGGGTGGTCGGAAGTAGGAAAGGTACTTGCCCCAAGCCCATCGTGTATCGTCGATGAAGAAGGCGCGGCCCTCTTTCTTGGCAAGACCGTAGCTGAGCCAGAGAAGAAGCAGCGACTTGCCAAGGCTTGCCTCGTCGGACTGGAGCACGAAGGTCAAGCTGGTCTCGCAGGTTCCCCTCAGCCAGTCGTCTTCCAGCCTACTCGGCAATGCGCCCGTATCCTCCGCTCGGTCGATGTCCATGAAAGTGGAGTCAACAGCGTGATCCTTGTGTTCGCCCCACCAATGTCTGCCTCGAGCGGCAGTGGAAGTGGGCTTCAATGTACTGCGGAATTTGGCGCCGTGTTCGCAGATGTTCTTGTAATCATGACTGGGGAGGGGAAAGCTCATGTTGCGTGGTATGCTGACGGTCCATTTGGATGTGCCGTCCTCATCCGAGACCATGAGAGCAATGGGCTCATCGGGGAGCTGATTACCACCGACCAAATATGTCTTGTCGTCGATACGTCCGTCTGCAGCAGGGGCGTGTGGCCATGGAGGCTCGATCTTGACGCCTCTCGAATCAGCAGTGAGAATCCAGCAGCCAAGCATGTATCGCCACAACAATAGAAGGCCGAACAAGCCAGCAACGAGTCTGATGGCCATTCCTCTCCTCCACGTCGGCCGTGGTCTGTTCTCCTTGGTCACAGGTGCTGGCAGGATGGGCGACGGCGGCGTCTGGTCCAAGTAGCCTTTCCCCTGGAGGCTGTTCCTGCTCGATCGGGAGACGTGGGATGGTGTCGAGTCGGTTGAGGAGACGGAGAGGTTTGTATTCCGGCGATCCCGCATCTCGGAACGGAAATTTTTATGATACACAGGTTTCGTTTGGATCGCCGTCGACAGAGGGAGAAAAGATTACTCGATCAACATGTAGTCGCAGATGTCGTGTCCATAGCGGTTTGTTGGTGGGATCCCGTTTGCAGTCTTGGCGGGGTGTGAGATTGAGAAGGAAGGAAAAGCAGCGAATGTCGAGTCAGCAAATAGCAGGGGAATTGGCAGCCTTGCTGATGAGAATCTGATGAGGATCGAGGAGGCGTCCCGGACGTCTATCCCGTCTTATGGGAGAGATGATGTTAATGTTGGGGGCGGAATTGTGGAAAGAGGTGCAGCAGAGAGCCCGGCTCCTCTGCGACTGCCCACTTCACATGCAAACAAGCTGAGGAGCATCCAGCGCCGTCACCCTGGCTGCATCAAGCCTGCATCACAAGGCGGTGGGGAGGAGTATGTGTGAAGGTAAGGTAGAGTAAGAAGTAGAGGGTTGTTGTACAAGGATGGGATGGAGGATGCAGCAAGAGGAAGAGGAAGGACGAGTCAAGAGGAGGACCCGCCGCAGAGGGAAGCTCATGTCATCTCAAGGCAAGACCCCTACGCGCGCCTACCATCACCTCATCATCATCATCATCAGCAGCAGCAGCAGCCGCCATCAACAGGCCCATCAGCATTCTCAACAGGGCATGTACTGTACGATCACTCAGACGGCCACTCAAACGGGCACTAACGGGCACACTGCTGATTGTGCCATCCAAGCGGCCAGTGACAATCAATGCAACGCACAGCAAGCATGCACCGCCAACGCAATGCACCTCGGCCTGTGTGTTGTTTAAAGGGAAACTTGGAATTCTGAAACACGCTTCCCATGCAACAGACCCTTGCACCCCACACGTGACGCCCTGCCCCCCTCTGAATGCGAAACGCCCTTGGTATGCCTTAGACGTCGCGTGGAACAGTCACCGTTTCCTAAAGATTGTCTCAACAATGCGACACTTGAGATGTTTCCCTTGCTAGAGAGATTCTGAGGTTGTTTTCCACGCGAGCACGGCAGAGACAGCAACGATGCCTGCGATTGATATCACAGATATGTATCTCATGAAGATCGTTGTCGATCTCGTTTCAGGCGCAGGACCGACCTCGGCAAGATCTTCGCTTGATAGCCGGCCCGTCGGCGCCTGCCCTCGACGTCACCTGCGTCACTCCCATTTCCAACCACGTCTTGGCATCAGCCATCGCTTTTCTTCGTGTCAGCATGTACAACACTCCGACACGGACGGACAGGAAACTGCAACTCGGGCCCCTTTTTTTCTTTCCTTGGAGAACTAGCTGAAGGGCTTATCCGAGGCAGTCAACAAGTCTTGCCGACTACCTCCCAAGCAATTCATCGGCTTTCACCAAATCCAACTCGTGTCCTGCTAAACGACGCCCAATTCATCCGGTCTCTACTAGTCGCCCATGGGGACTGGTTGGTGTATCAAATCTCAAGACAAGACTCGGCTCTAACACGACGCGTTTCGTCATTCTTACTTCCCTTCACGTTTCATCACCACCTCACATTGCTCAATGCTACTTATCTGTTGTGGACTTGTCCGGATGCGTCACCAGCCACGCATCTCGCCGGAGAGGCCGAGACACCGATGAGCTTTAAGCCAGACAGCAGCAAGGTCGAATTGATGATGATGATAATTATATGATAATCGAAACACGTTCCCAGATTGGACTGACCCGCGGCCTCCGCCAAGAAGAACTCGCGCCGCATCATTCCCAACCTGCACCCAACGCCAACCACCCTTCTCACACTCCTCGCAATGCCTCGTTGGAACCGGACACGTCTCACCTGGATCATCATCCTACGTAGTCCAATCCCTCGGCAACCGCACTTCTTCCTCTCTCACCAACTCGCCCACCTCATCCTTCGCAAGATCCCAAATCCACTTCCCATTCGGCTTCAATTCCCTCCCTTGCGATAGCTGATCGGCAAGAAACATCCAGTTCACAGCATTTCCGACTGTACCCACTTCATCACTAACATGCGCAGCAGCGAATTTACTCATGCTTTCATATCTCTGGGCATCGGTGAAGAGAGTATCCAGGTATTTTGCCACGGCTGAATGATCTCCCGGCTCGACGAGAAAGCCGGATTTCTCGGGCTGGACTTGGAGAGGAATGCCGCCTGTTCTGGTGGCGATGACGGGGACGCCTTTGTGTAGGGCTTCCGAGACTTTCACTTCAAACCCTTCGCGCGTGGAAAGCTGAAGTGCGACCCGCGCGTTGGACATGAGTGTGTTGAGAAGCTGGTCCGTCGGTCCCAGGCGCATGACAACCACGCAGTTCTTGATGTCCCGGTACTCATTTTCCAGCTGCCCGAGCGTCTCCTCTAGTACACGCACTCCATCAGGATCATCGACAGAATAGTGCCCTGCAATGACAAGCTGCGGAGTCTCGTCTTTCGACTTGCCAGAGCAGAACGACGACGTCCGCCGGAACTCCGCATAGCTAGCCAGGACATCTGGAATGCCCTTGGAGGGATCGAAGCGCGCTATCTGCACGATGTAGTCTCTCTCGGGATATTGTAGTGTCACCATCCGCTGTCGGAGACATTCCGTGTTGAATTCATGCTGATAGTACTCCAGGTCAAAATCCCGTAGCTCCTTGTTCAACCCATCGAGCCAGTCCGTCGTCGCAGGCATGTATGCCAATTTCTTGCGATCGACATCTTTCGGGACGAACGCGCTGACGGGATGCGCAAGGAAGAGGTCGGAATGCCTCACGCTCTGCCAAAGCCATGACCAGACCCCGCCCGTGGGCGTCTTGGGGTCATCTGCCAAGTCCGCGCGAATTTGGATATGAGAGCGGAAGATGACGGGTCGGTCTGGATCCTGCTCCTTCGCGATATCGATGATATTCGGCATCTGCGGATCGTCCACAATGATAACATCGGCGCCGCCTTTGGAAGCGGGCGTAAGCGGCCCGCCCTCTCTCAGCCAGAAGCGCTCGGCATTCCCCTGCACCCAGTCTCGGATCGTAGCCTGCTGCTCTTCCGACAAGCGCTCGTCAGGCTTCGCAACCGCCTGCAAGATGTTATGATTCGTCTTGGTGATACGAAAGACCTCTGGTTTCGGCTTGGGCACCCACCACGTACAATCCACACCCACGAGTCGAAAGAAGCGAATGAGCGCATGCCGCATCAGTGCCACGCCACCTCCTTGCGGCGTAGCGCTGAAAAACGCTATCTTCGTCTTCTTCTCCTTGAGCGATTCCGCGTACTTCGTCGCCGCTTTCCACGTCCGCGCATTGACCGTGGCGCGATACTGTTCCAAGCTCGCCAATCGCGCCCGATTGGAGAGATCCACCTCCACCCGATTCGCGAACCCCACCTCCACGCGAGGTTGGAAACTCGGACCGAAAAATTCCAGACACTTCCGAGCCATGGAATCGGCCATCTCATCCACTCCTCCTCCTCCCTGGGCGGATTTCCGCTGCAAACGACTCCTCCCGCCTTCTTCTTCTTCTTCTTCTTCTTCTTCTTCCCCCACTTCCTCCTTGACAATCACAACGGGAACAATATCCAATTCACTCCACAGCCTCGACGACATCTCCGGACATGTCTCCACGAGGGCGCGCGATAACCCCGCCCCGACGAATTTATACGACATTTCCCGCTCGTATTCTCCGATTCGCCGCACCACGTAGTCCGCGATGTCTTTCTGCTTCTTCGCTTCTGGCGATCGGAGGCTATGCACCGCGAAGTCGATGTTATACGTCCCGTCGTGGCATGCGAAGCCGATTTCGATTGCCTTTTCTTCTTCTTGTTTCGCTTTCGCTTTTTTGTTCTCGTCGTCGTCGTCGTCTTCGTCCTCCTCTGCGAGCGCGATCCCCAGAAAAACTTCGGAGAGGGCGATTCCCAGCTCGTTCTTTTGAGTTTTGTGCCGGCGCATGCGCTCGATGTGGCGCGCTGGGGCGACGTTCTGGAAGGGGTGTTCGGTGGTGCTACTGCTTGCCGTCGCCGCGGCGCTGCGATCGTTTGAATCTGCTGCTGTCATGATTGATTGCTCTTGGAACTCTGTTCACGAGATCGAGGGATTGAAGATGAGGAATGAGGATTAATTGATGAGAGTTGAGGGACGAGAGATGAAAGCTCTCTCTCATCTAGTTCTATAGTGAAGTGAAGAGGTGCATTCTATGTCCTTTGTGTTCACTTCACTTCACTCGACTCGGAACTGTGGACTGTATAGAATAAACGTTACACAAACATGACGACAGCCCCATTACATTTTTTCCGCTTTCTTTCCGACCGACCGACCGACCGCATACGGAAAGATAAGATGAATCGACTCCGTCATCGCCTAGACATTTAGTGGATAATTCGCGCGCTTGTTTGCTACTAGAAAGATAGTAAGAGAGTAGAATGAAATAGGAGTACATACTTACCTTTTAGAGAAAGAACCCCTACATGCATGCAGGGCCCTTTCTTCTTCTTCTTCTTCTTCTTCTTCTTCTTCTTCGCCTACCTTACCTTACCTTACCTTACTCCTCGCCCCTCTCCGCCGCCGCCCGGCCGCCTTACTCGAGACCGGTGAAAATGCGAACCACAAACCCACACCAAGCTCTTCTCTTCAGAAGAATAAGAAAAGGAAAGAAAGGACGAGAAATATATATATATATATATATATATATATATAATAGATACAGATATCCAAAAGGGAGGGAGATGAAGTAAGTCCCCCTCTCAGACGTGACACACGCGTGCACTACCTTAGCGCCAACCTTCACTAATCCTCGTCAACCTTAGGCAACTACTACTACCTACTACTACTACTACTACTACTACTACTACTACAACCCGACTGTAGGTACGTACCTTAGATCACATTTAATGAATTACTCAAAAAAAAAAGTCGAGGGTAATGGAACAGGTGTGATCAAAGGCAAAAAGCGCGGGCATCTTCGCATTCTTCTAACCGTTGACCTTCGACAATCTTCTGCTCTCTAGCCCTTATTTAATAATCGAGCTTGGGTTGGTCGGTCGGTATGGTACAAGAATTGGTATCATATTCGAATAATGTTACACGGAAGAAAAAAAGTACAAAAAAACAAAGTGATATGTAAAGCTGAGAGAAAAAGGTAGATTCGCCTCCCGGGGGTTCTCCAGCGAGTATGGGTATCGCAATCGAAAAAAAAGCCATCCATCCATCCATCCATCCATCCATCCATCCGTCCCATCGATCGAAACCAAGAATGTGCAAAGAGAAGAAGAAGTGAATGTCCCTGGTCCGGTGTGATGAGAGCACCCGGGGCTTCTGCTCTCGTCGAAGTCTCGTCGTGTTCCCTTCTGCAAACGCCGTGCTGGCTGACAGGACAAACGAAAAAAGCCACAGCAGTACCCGCCCGCTTCGTGAATCCATGAACCATGTCTAGCCTCGCGCATGCAAACCCAAAACCTCCCAAGGCCTGCGTGACTTGTCGAGAGCTCTGCGCCAATCACGGCGCGCTCCGTGCTTCTCCAGCTCGTCACATATCATTTTTCTTGCAAGATATAAAGTCGCGTCGTCGTGCCACTACCATGCCGTCGTCGCGTTGGCTCCAGCCTCAACGTCGTCCACCTGCATCGCGTCGTTATTGCCAGAGCTGCCGTCCGTTTCCCCTTCCCCTTCCTCTCCGCTCTGCACATCGTTGATCTGCGCCAACACCGTATCATGGCGCACTCTCAACGAACCTCGTTCGCCGCGGACGACATGGCCGCTTTCGACTTTGTCTTGGATCATCTGGTCGAGTAGCTGCGTCATCTCGTCCACGCTCTTCCTACGAGTCACGCGACGCTCGACCTTTCCGATGCTTTCCCTGGAATTGTTGGACGAGTGACCGGGGCTGAGGATGGCCACGGGACTAAGAGGCGTCTTGGAGAAGTTGACGGCGCCGGAACTGGATTTGCTGGTCGTCGAGATCAGAGACGGAATGCTGCGGTGACCGTTGCTCATCGCTGTATTCGATCGGGAGCTGTGCCGGGACGCTCGAGAGCTGTTATGCCTTCGGAAGGGAAGAGTATTGAGATCTGGAACCGTGTCGGCCACACCACTGGACGTCGCTGGTCGTGCTGTGTCTTCGCTGGTGGTAGTCGCATGGCTCTTGCGTTTCTCAATCATCTCCCTCTTACGGGCGGCGCTCCGTAACGCAGTGACCATGCGCATCTGGTCATCCAGCTTGGCGCGGAGGTCGTCAATCTCCCGGTCACGATCTCGCAACATCGCTTCCAGGCTGCCTTCCTCTGCCACGCCGACCCGAGACGCAAAGCCCATACTGACGCGGCTGTGGCTCGTCCGCCGAGCCTGCAGCAGACGCTTTTCGAGAGTCGCGATGTAGCGATTCTTGTCAGCCAGGTCCGTCTGGAGCATTCGGTTCTGCTGAGCCAGAGTAGCCTGGCCCTCACCATCGTCGCCCCTGGAATCTTCGCCGTCCTCGTCTTCTTCCTCCACCGCGGGAGTCTCTTGAAGGCGTGAAACTGCAGCTGCGGGCAGAGTTCCCATCGTGATGGAGCCGCTCGAGAATGGTCGATCGTTCGGGACTGGGATCCCGAGGGTCACGGCGCTGTCTCTTTGAGGCTCGTGCAGACTCTCGCGACTCGGCACGCCCACTGGCTGTCCGTACTCCGACTGCGACACGCTGTACATGCTCAGCCGGGGATTGAATGGCATGCTGGCGCTGGAGAATCTTCCGGAATTGACGCCCAGCGACTTGGACGACAAGATCAGGCGGTTCAGGTGGCTGATACGCTCTTTCAGAGCCGTCCTCGCAAGCTGCATCTCCAGCATCTGTTCCTCGTGTCTGGTCTGCTCTTGTCGCTCGAGCTCCTCCTCCATCTTGCGGTCGTTCTCAATCTCCTCCTGCTGCTCGGCCTCCTCCTTGGCCTTGTTCTGAGCCTCGAGCTGCGCACGGAGGTCCTGGATCTCCAAGCGATACCGGTCCAACAGTGCTCTGCTGTTCGGGTCTTGGGGATTGGGATTTGATTCGTTACGTTTGGCGTGGCTTACGATGTTGTTCTTCGCCCTGCTCGCGAACTTGAGCGTGTTGAGCGTCTCTCCGGTGTGAGAGCCTGCGAGTGCCGCGCTCGAGCCCGCGGAAGACAGCTGGATGGTGCAGAGGATGGAGACAAGCGAGTTGCCAGACAGTGCTGGCTGAAGCAACCGCGTGAGCTTGCTGTCGCGGTATGGCAGATGTTTCGATCCCTTCTCCTTCTCTGCCGGCCTCGCACCCTCCTTCTCATCCTTCTCGTCGTCTCCCGACAGACGCGCAATGACCGTTCCCAGAGTCAACAGCGACTTGTTGATATGAGCACCCTCCGTCCTCCGCTCTTTGCTCTCCGCGGCCTTCTCAGACCCTGCCAAATCGATGAGAGACAAGGTCGAGACCAGCACACCTCCCGGCAAGATTTTGTCTGAGCGGCGAGTATCCTTCTTGAAGTGCTCGGCATGATTCTGCGATCGTGCTCGCGACTCGACCACAATCTGCACGACGGCATGAGACCGAGACGACCGAGCATTGAACTGAGTGCTTCCAGTCCGACGCGCCAGATCGCCTCGCGCAATGACTCGCAGGAGCTGATTCGGAGACTGCACGATTTCCTCCTTCAGGGGGGTGGCATACACGCCACGCTTGCTATCTTCTCGAAGTTTAATCTCCTCCTGTTGCTGCCCAGGCGCATTCTGGCTGAGTAAGTCGTAGATCTTCTCGTTGTATATCTCCAGGTAGCTGACACGCAGAAGAAACTCGCGTTCTGGGTTCTCGCGGATATATGAGAAGATGTCGGTGATGGCTAGAGGGATCACGCCGGGTGAATTCGCCGTGCCCTGCATGGAGAACGTTTTGCCAGTACCGGTCATACCGTATGCGAAAACGGTGCCGTGGTAGCCTTCCATGACTCGTCGAACTAGGCGTTTCGCAGCATTATCGTAGACTCGTGCGTTCTGGTCGTTCGGCGAGAAGACGTTGTCATATCGATAGTCGCCGCCCTCGCGACCGTTGTACGAGATCAGGGAGCGTCGCCCGTCGACCATCCATTCTCCGTCCGCGTTTCCATCTCCTCCCGAATCCGGACGCACGCGAACGCTCACCAAGACGTTGCCTTTGCTGTCCTTTGCGTCCGATTCTCTCTTGCTGCCCGCAGTCTTGTCATGAGTGCGTGATCGACCTCTCTGGCCCAGCTCGTCGGGTGCATCCTCGATCGCTGTCGCATCGGTGGTATATGAGCCTTCAGCAGAAGAGCTTCGGCTCTGAGGCGGCGAAGGTATGCTCAGCATGCTGTCCGAGGCTCTGACGCCGCCGCTCGAGATCATTGCATTGTCACCAGTGCCGTTCAACAGACTGGGCGAGGCAGCCGTGCCGGGAACGGAGACTCTCGGGCGCAATCCATAGCCAGAGCTGCGAGAATTGGGCTTCTTGAGCCCAGCGTCTGCACTTCTGTGCCTCGAGGCGTCCCGTTGCGGCCTGGTCGGAGCTTGAGGCAGCGTCTGTGCGCCGTTCGGTAGTTTGGAGGAAGTGGAGGCTGAGAGCGGACTTGGGGGGAGACTAGTCACGCGTGAAGCACCTTTGGGAGGCAGCGGGAAAGATCCAATACTTGTCGTCTTTCGCACTGTTTTAGGCACGGCAGTCCCGATGGAAGGCGACGGGGACGGTGGAGGGGCATAGTTGGTGTTCAGAGTAGGTAGGGCAGGGGTCGAGTAGGCTTTGGAGGTCTTGAGGGTGGGGAGGGCAGAGACGGTCGCAGACCTGGACGGGATGGCCGTCCTCTTGTTGGCGGCGAGTGCGGGGCGCTGAGAAGCGGTCGAGGTGCGTCTCGAGTCCGGGGTCGCATCGTCGTCGTCAGCAGCAGCAGCGGGCTTGCGATTCTTGGAGACAGGCAGGGCGGGGAGGGGGCCCGTGGGCGGTGGTCGCGGAGTGCGCGGGAGAGCTGAGGTCATGGTCGCGGTGGATAGGGCGGACATGGCACGGTGCTGGCGGACGGCTGGCGGATGTCTGGCGAATGTCTGGCTTGGAGGTGCAGCAGTCGGCGCCGTGCCGACGCCTACTGGCAGCAGGAGTTGCGGGCGGGAGGTGTATCGGTCATGCAGACGAGAGACCGCTGCGTTCCATGCGGCCGGGCGCAGACAGGGCGGGAGGTGTTCGAGGCAGGCGAATTGGTAGGTAGGTAGGTGAGGCGGCGGCGGCGAGCAAAGGGTGAGGTGAAGTGGAAGAATCAGGGTCAGGTAAGGTATGCGATGCGATGTGCGATGTGGAGAGGACGAGTGCCAGGTGGTTGCCGCTGGTGCTGCTGGTCCGCGCTCCTGCAGGCGAGCGGGCGTGGCAGGGATGGGTATGTCGAGGGGAGATTGGCTTTGTGGGAGAAAGTGAATCGCGAGACGGATGATGAAGCACGCCCTCACTGGCCCCTGTGTGCTCTCCGAGATTGCTATCTGTTATTAGTACTGTGGTATGCTTGGGTAGTCGGGGAGAGGAGAGGTCGGAGGGCGCGTTGCGGATGTGATTGATGCTGGTTGCAGGTGCGGCGGCAGTCTTCAGGAGTCGTCTCACGGCGCGGCGCGGCGCGGCCAGGTCTGCTGGAGTCTGTCTTGAGATGCCCCGCTACTGCAAAGGCTAACGGCGCCGGGATGAAGCTTTGCAAGCGAGATGGTCCATCCGGGTGTTACCTGCCGTGCCTTACCTCATGTCCCGCCGGCATCCTCATCCTCACAGGAGTAGTGTGTAGCCATGCCATGATCCCCGGAGTAGCCATTCCCAGGATACACGAGACAATGACACGGCTTTTGCGGGCGGGACAGAATGCAAGACGGAAGACGGAAGACGGAAGGCGGAAGGCGACCTCGATCTCTGCCGCACTCCACACTTCTGCATCGGAGGCGGTCTAGCGTGCATCGGATGCGCCTCCCGAGCACGCCGCGCCGCCACAGCACAAGCGCCTCCCATCACAACAACCAGGGCATGTTGTGATGTCTTGTCTCCATGCATTCGTTGCACGGCTAGCAGGTGACGACCGGC